TATCGACAACTAGCAGTATGCTAGTAAACCCATAAGATCGGGTTTCATTTTTCTGTATTCATCGAAAAGATTATATGATTTAATTATTATGAGAATCATCGAGCACTGCCCAACAAGTAGCGCATGAAATGCCTGAGTCAGTTCATTTCATATACTTAACGCTTGAAGTATGATATTCCCCAGTTGTCGATGATGACGAAGGCCCAGTCAGCATCGGAGTCGCTACCCGTTCTGAACAGAATAAGCAGACAACGCTATGTTATTATACTACTTCAGACAAAATTCCACAAAAACGATACCAAAAGTGGAAGCTCACTGTCGCAAACTGGAACATCTCTTCACTCAGAGGGAAAGAAGAGGAACTAGGTGATAAGGCCGCATGATGCCGAGTGGATATAGTAGGACTCTCGTCAATGATGCATCAAGGTCTAGAATTTAGTTGCGTATGTTGGAGCAGACATAGAAAAGTAAAAGAGCGTGACTGGAAAGAACCGTCTTGGCGATCTTAAACACTAAGGCATGAAGTTGTTGCGCTTTTGTACGAACAACGGACTACCTATTAGGAGCACCTTCTGCGAGCATCGAAGCGTGTTCCAGTGTACCTGGTATAGGAAAGACTGTTTACAGAAGTCGTTTATCGATTAGATAATTGCATCGTCTGACTTACGATGCTCTATAATGGATGTTCGCGTTAAAAGAGGCGCAGAGCTGTCAACCGATCATCACCTTGTTGCTGGCAGCCTCCGCTGCAAATGTTGGAATACCATGCAGAGACCTGGTGGTAGAAGCAAGAGAGAATCAAATGGCAAATATTATCTTCTGGGATACTAAAGAAAAACTAACAAACGACTGTATAACGGTTTCAACAGATTTCAGAGATAACGACTAGCGTAGAAACTGCCTGGAAATTCTATGAGTGACTTATAGGACTGCGGAGGCTTAAAATGCGCAGACAGCTGCATAGGGGTGACAAACTAACTTTATAGTGGACACGAGAGATTCAAACAGTTATCATCGAGAAATAAGGCTGTATTCAACAAGTAACGTGGAGGCAAGAGCCCTCAACTGAAAAGAGGGACGAAAAAGCGCGTAAGGCAAGAGCTAACGCTGATTCATGACGAAAGTGCGGCGAAATGCTGGACTCAAATTTTTAGACCGCAAACAAAGTATTTATGCAAGCCATACGCCTCATCAGAGATAAAAATGGCAGTCTAAGAGTCCTGAATGGCAAGAACGTGTTTTCTGAAAAAGGAAGATGATATACTTCAGAGATGAAGAGAGTAGACCGAGGAACTACTCAACCCCAGGCAAGCGTAGGGAGATTTGCGTGAAAGCACCAGTAAACGGACAGTGATCTCTCAGTAGATGAAGTGACGAAAGCTATAAAGAAATCTTCAGAGATGTCGAGGCTACTGGAGTCAATGAACTCCGCC